AACTTTAAACCCCTACTGTATTCTGGTCTGACTCTTGCTAGATTGTGCCTTCAGTGTTCAGACCATCTCCATCCCATTCATTCTCACAACAGCATGAGGTAGGGTACTTTTTCCTCTGTATTGTACTTCTGGGGAACACAAAGAAGAGGGGGAGGGAGGGAGGGAGATTGAGAGAGAGAGAGAGAGAGAGAGAGAGAGAGAGATTGGCCATGTTTTGAAATTCTTACAATTCAAACCCAAAGAAGCCTAAGGCCAATGAACCAAACTATCCCTCTGAGAAGTCAGGTGAGTGAGAAGAATAGCATTATGTAAAATGAAGATTATTCCTAAACTTAATTTTGCATTTTGGATGCTCCCAAAAAAGATAGGAGAAACATATTTGAAATATTGGCAGAAGTAGGTAATTAACTATTGTAACAGAAACAAACGCACAAGGATTAGTAAGAAACTATGGTATATTCCACAAAAAGAAGGAGGGCTTGGATTACCAAATGTTATAATGTATTACATTGCAAACCAGCTTAGACATATTCCGTATATTATTGAAAATAATAGATATTTAACATGGAGGGCAATGGAAATGTCAGAATGTTCTAACAGATTGGAGGACTTCCTCTTTAAAGAAAAAATTGTAGAAAAAATAAAGAGAATATCTAAACCCTTTTTGAAGAACATGTTAGAATGTTGGAAAGAAAATAGATATATAATGAGCCCACTTATTTCCCCATTACAACAACTAGTGGAGACTCAGAACTTCCCCAAAACTCTTAAAACTATACTTAAAGAAGTATTAGTAGAGAAGAGGTTAAATACAATGAGTTGGATGAAAAAGATGAAAGATAAAAATACTATAAAGGAAATTTTTGGGCAGGAAGAGGGGATATCTTGGTTAAATATACTCCAAATGGAAAGTTGGACAAGGAAGTGAACCAGAAAAATAGGAGAAATTAGAAAACTGACAAAATTTAAGGAGATCATTGACCAAAGACAAATTCAAGAGGAAGGAAACAAAAGAAAGGGTACAGTTAGTGTAATTTATAAGATTTTAATACGAGCGGGATGTGAAAAAGCTATGATGAAAAACCAGTGGCAAGAGGATTTAGAAGAGGTCAAAAGTGAGGAACGGAATAAAATATGGTTACAAAGAATATGTTTATAAAGGTAAAAGAAAACTGCCATAAGCTTGCATGGAGATGGTACCTTCCCCCTGCAAGACTGAATAAATAAAAATGTACCATCTCAATGCTGGAGATGTAAAAAAAGAAAAGGGGACTTATATGCATATGTGGTGGACTTGTGAAATAAGAAAGAAAGAATGGGCACTGATTTTTAAAGAAATTAGAGAAATTAATGGATATAATATTCAAATATAACTAACTATTGCACTATTAAATATAATTAAGAATGACCATCTTAAAAAAGAACAGAAAGAGTTAATAGCTATAATGGTCGCAGTAGCAAGATTAGTATTTGCAAAAATTGGAAAAGTGGCAAGCAAATTAATCTTGAAGATTGGTACAAAGAAATGTGGAGTTTAGCTATTAATGATAAGCTAACATATGAAATGAAAGTAAGAGGGGGGAGGACAAAACATAATGATTTTAAAGCGGTATGGAATTTATATTTGAAGTATGTCTTTGTGAAAGGGAAAGGTCACAAGCCAGCAGAAGAATCAATGTATTTTTGGAGTGGAATGGGGTGAAAAGGGATTAAAAGGATATTTCTGGTTACTGAGGGTTCCGAGGGTGATGATGGCACAGGCAGGGAATTATACTTATGTTGTATGTATACAAGTTTTATGTTAGTGTTGTTATTATTAACTTTCTTTAGTTGACAATATTTAAAAAAGAAATCAGGTGAGTGTTTCCCAAACACAAACTTTGTACAAGTTTGGGGCTCCCTGACAGACCACGTACTTTGCATGCAGAAAGTCCCAAGTTGTTTGATTCGTGGCCTTTCCAGGTGGGAGTGGGAATTTCCCCTAGAGAATTGCTACCAATCACAGCAGACAGTGGGAAGCTCAATGGCCCAGCGGACTGGCTTGGTCCCCAGGCAACTCCATCTCTTCTGCCCTGCTTGCTATGTGCAAACGCTTCAGAGTACGCAAGAGGTTTTAGCCAGGGCCTTAGTGGGAGTTCTGATCCCACTAACTTAGGAAGTCAAAGGATGTCACCATCAATACTTCCTACGGGGTCTGAAGATAAGGTGATACATCTCAGTTAGCCAGGGCCTTAGTAGGAGTTCTGATCCCACTAACATGTCACCATCAATACGTACTTCCTACGGGGTTTGAAGATAAGGTGATACATCTCAGCCATTCAAGTCCCA